TTTTTTTAATACATTTATTGATTGAATAATTGTATTCTTTTGAAGGTTATTTATTTCACTAATCTTTATCGGGGAAAGAAAATTAAATTTTATCTTCTTTCCTAAGTCTTTTGATTCTAACCCTTTTTCAGTTATTCTAAAAGGATATAATTGAGTAATGAAAGGAGTACCTAGGATTAATTCTTGTCCAAAGTCTTTTACTAAAAGGAAGGAATTTACGAAGCAAATTCCATCATTGCAAACATGAACTTTTGATAGTTTGTAATTAATTTTGAGTTTGTTGTTGTTAGCATCTCTAAGGCCCTCAGTAGTTTTTTCAAAATACTTTGTAGGTATTAGGCCTTCTTGAATGCAATTTTGCTTGGCTCCCGTATCTATGAGAGCATTTAGTGTAATTTTGAAATCATAAATTTTTAAGGTAACGAGAGCGTACCATTTTTGATATTGAGAAGTTGTGATGGCTCCAACGAAGGAACTTTGAAAATCTTTTTCATCCAGGTTTGGTTGCGCCGTTTCCCTTCGTTCGGGCAGCCTTTCCTGAAGATTGAGAATTTCTTGACGAAGCATATAAGATTCTGACCTGGTTTCAAATCTTAACGCCTGTACCTCTTGTTTGAGATTATTAATCTCTTTTTGTAAATCTTGAGTAGTGAGTTCCCTTGGTTTTTCAAATCTTTGGAGAACAGACTAGAGTCTGTAGGGATTTCTTTCTTCCCTTTCAGGTGGCTTAGAGATTGTCATGGCATCTCTAAGTCGTTGAGCAATTTTCTGTTGAATTTCTGGATCTTGAACTTTTTCTACTACTTCGAGTAGAATTTCTTGATCCTTTGTGAGTACATTTATGCATCCTTCGCATGTCCTTTTTCCCTCCTGTTCTGATTCGTATTCTGTGCTAGAATATGAATCGGATTCTTCTTGGAGTTCGAGGATTTCTCCCTCGCTTGATTGCTCTGAGTCGGTTAGGGTCAGTGGTAATAGCTGATTTTTCAGCTCTTGATCTATATCCAACTCATTGATCTTTCCTCTGATTGGACACTTGTTAGCATAGTGTCCTTCTTCACGACATTTGAAGCAAGTTTGTTTTTTCTTTCCTCCATGGGTTTTTGTAGGAATATACTTCCTTCTTGAATATGCTGGCTTTTGAGACTGCACGGGTTTATTCCGATATGTTTCTCTAGGCCTGTATGAATGATAAGGTTTTGGATGCGTCTTAACCTTGTTTCGTATAGAGGTTGAGGGAGCTTCTATTCCCTTGCATCCATATTGATCGCAAAATCTTCCAAGCTCTTTTCTATTTGATATTGAAGAATTGAGCTTGTTTTGAATCTTTGACTCATTATAAAGCCTGAGTCCTTCTTCTATGATGAAGGATGCTATGGATCCGTATGACAGAGTCTGCCATGGAATTGTTCCATTGTGCTTTGTCTTGAGACCATCTTTGATCCTCCTTGAAAAGTGTTTTGGTAGTCCATTGACAAAATTCTCTTTCCAGAATTCCAACGAACTATCTGTTCTAATAAGAACTTTGCTGAAGTACATGTCTTTGTACCACCTGAAATCACCTAAGGTAGGGCATTTCAGATTCATGAGTATCTCGGCGGATCTCTCCTGGTATTTCAGAGGGTCGCCGACGAAGAATTCTATGAGGGTATATATGAGGGTGTTGACAGCATCCTCTACCCTTTCATGTTGTATTTCGGTTCTAGTTGATGGACCTTCTTCTTTGATGATCTGAGTAGTTGGCCTAATGACATAGTGATTTAATATCTATTGGCGAGTTGTTTCGTCGAGATATTTGTCCCACCAGTCTTTGAGTTGCCTGGTAAATCCGGTTACTAAAACTTGAGCTATCTGATGGTCGGATTTATGGCCCTGTAATTTTTACGCGCCTGCAGCCATCATCATCTCATTGACAACATTCATTATCAGATAGTCAGACAATCCGTCGATATTCCATTCATAGATTGCTAGACCATCGTAATGAGCTTGAGTTTGCAGTGTCTTTTCTTCGAACTGGATATCTGGAAAAGACGGTTGAGGATACCAGTTTTTCTGATTACTAGTATTATTTTGACTTCTTCTAGAGATCCTTTCAATTCGATTGTAGAAAGGTTCTTCTTTCTCATTTGCAATCTCGTCTTCGGATTCTTAGTTTTTGCCGTCATTGTTGACGACATTGACAGATGAATCTTGAGGTGTTATGGCGGGATTTAGTATCCTGTCCAATTTTTCTTCTATTTTGGCCATTGCAGCCTCTTCTTTTGAAATCCTTTTTGTAAATATTTCGAGATTTGCCGGTCGGAGTATTGGTATTGACTCATCAACCTTTGGTATAGAGCTGCTTGCCTGTTCCTGCTGAGTACCTGATTTCTTTGAGATTTTTCCCTCGATGCTCTCGAGTTGAGTAGCGATCGTGGATAAAATCTTATTTGAGTAATTGTTTTGATGCTGGATATTCTTGATATCCTTTAGGGTCGGATTACTCTTTTCTAGTCCTTGCGGAATATGTTTGAAAGGGCTAGCTTTGACCTTTTCTCCGTAGTAGTTGTCGAATTCGACTTCTTCTAACGAAGGATGTTTCGAATATACCTCGCCCCTTTTGGTAGTCTTCCAACTCCTCTGAGTCAAGGTGCATGCCTGCAAAATATTTTCTTCAAACCATTCGAAGAATGGTATATTTTCTTCGATGGCTTCCATATGAGAATACCACTGAGCTCTTAATTCATTTCGCTTAGCCTCTTTGTAGGTTTGGAAGAAGGCATTTCTTTTTGAAGAGTTGGTAGTTGACATAAAATCTGCTTTAAAAAATTCTTTGTCTATCTGGAAATCAGCTGTAATGACATTTAGCTGGCTTTCGTAGACGGATTGAGTATCCATATCCGTATGGGTTGGAGACCTTGAGCCATCTTCATAGTGGATTGACGCTCTTTTTTGATCATAACTGACCTCTTTTACCTTTAAGGGGTCATACGTCGATCTTGATATTCCTGAAGTACTTGGTCTAGAACTCAGGAATTCTTTTACTTTCGACTCTAACGAAGGTTCTTCGCTGAATTTTATTTCAACGCTTCCATCGTCATGTTCGATGATTTGGACTGGGTTTTGAGATTCTTTTCTTTTTGGAAGATTTGCATCTTCTATTTTCCAGAGAGTGCTTCTGGTTATTTGATCCCAAGAGAGTGTTTTTGGGACAGTCACTGATGATTTCCCAATATTCGCTTCTATGAGCATAGTCGATCCTTTTGGTGAGGATCTTAATGCTCTTGGAGAAATGTTTGTATTCATGAGTTTATAATAAACCCTGAATATGACTACTGAAGAATGAGTTTCAGCCTTAATGTTTAAATTTTTTGATTGTAAATCCAGCATGAGAGCTGATAATATGTGTGGGTCGTGGAGTGACAAGAGTAAAATTTGGATAACAATTGAAATAGACTGATCCATTCTCTAGATTGGATTGAACCATTCCCAACAAAGAATTTGAGAAATCTTCATGTCTCTTATCTCGTAAGGAGATAAGGACTGAGATATCTAAACCAAGTCTGAATAATGGTTTTACAGCGACTTGGACAAGACCTACATGGAGATAATTAAACTCTTCACGATGTTGGAGTATAAGGGATTTTGAAAAAAGATTTAGAGATTCCCTATTGCTATGAATTGGGATGTTCTTCTCTAAGAATTTTATGCATGATCTTTGAGTAAAATTGAAGGTTGAAATTTGGTAGATAGTTTTAGGATCTACCTTTGGAATAGTCCAATTTTGGAGTTGATCTTCGATTCTGACAATCTGATTTTCTTGATTGACAGTATTTGAGATGGTGAGATTTTCTCCCCTTCTATGTTCATTTGAACTTTCTTCTTCATCGGTAGAGCATTTGAGATGGTTTGATCTTCTGAGCTTTCTTAGAAATTCGTTCATAAGATAAATAAGATAAGAGATAGAGTATAATGATTTTTCTCTGAATTTTTCAATTGATATTCAAGAGAGAGCTATCGGCCGATCAATGCTCTCTTTACATTGATGAAGTCCTTTTATAGACTTCGAATTTGATCGTAAATTTGAAAAACGCCAACTAAGAGATAAGATCGAATCTAGCAGGACAGGACCCCTGCAAGATCTGATTTCCTAAAAGACATAAAGTAGACTAATAATTTAAAAGACCATTAATTTAAAAGATTAATAATTTACCGACACTGATAATTGGCATGTGAGCCTTCACTGTGTGGTTGACAAGTTGTCAATCTTCGTTTTGTCTCTGATAAAGTTGTCAGGATGTAGATAAGATTTTTCTTCAGAATTTTTCATATGACTAAGCACCCAAGCTTGCCAACGGACTTACTGCGCTTCCCACGTCTTACCACCTGGAACACAAGGGCTATTCGCTCAACTATCACATACTCCAAATTCTTCTGATCTGTCATATCCTCCTCCTAGTTTATGCAACATCGCTCTTGAAGATCGAGTAACTCCTCTTCCCTCACGAAAATTGAGAGGCTCTGATACCATTCCTACGCTTAATGACTTGAGTCCTTACAATTTACATAAGCTCTGTCATCCTAGCTTAATT